AGAGATGGATAGGATGATGGGGAGGGGGTGGAGTAAGAGATGGATAGGAAGATGGGGAGTCTGTGGAGTTGGAAATGGATAGGATTATGCGGAGGGGGCAGAGTAAGAGATGGAAATAGGATGATGGGCAGAGAGCGGAGTAGGATATGGATGGATTCAGGATTGGAGATAGATGGCATTGGGATGGAGTCAAAGTAGACCTGGTAGATATGGGACGATGGGGGGGTAGAATTGTGAAGGATACATGCAGGATGAGGGGGTTGGATGTAAAGTGCAAAACTGTACTTAAGAGGAATTTTAATCATGCACCATCCATCAAACTCACAAATGCACTGCTTATATAATCATCCAGGTCTAGTCTGACTTGCATCATTTTACATTTGCAACAAGAATGAAAATAGATCAATGACTGCTAAAAGACATGTACATTTTTTTCATGTCTAGTCTACACAACTTTCAATCGAGCTTTCAACTTCCACACCTGACTCTTGCATATACATGTACATACATGTATGCACATGTACACATGCACAAGTCAGTGATGTAATTCTTGAGGCAGGTCATGGTGTCTTGGTCGAGTACTTGACATTTACAACTTGACCTCAGTCTTGGAGCAAAGATGTCAGGAACTTGCTTAATCTCTACTGTTGAAACCTTACAGGCAACCAAAGAAATAAATTAACGAACAAGATATACTAGTATGATATACTGATCTTTTAAAAGTGTTGAAAATGAGACTTACACCGTACACGTAGGTGAACCAAATATTAGGCCTGCAGCTTCACTTGGGGGAAACAAAAGCTAAATTGCGCCAACTTTCTTCCATAATAGTTTGGTACTGTATCTCCACATGCCGCTGCTTATGTACATGTATTGGCGAATTACATGTACTTGTAATCACTACTTGTAAGCAGTACACACATGTGCATTACATGTAGGTACCATGTAGTCATACTGCCATGCGTACAAGCACAGTTGTTCACTCTATCACCACCTCTTAAATAGTTGAGGATGTCTTGAAAAAGTATGAAAAATCACCAGTCTCACTGCCTT